ATCATTAATATTATTTTATAAAACCCTTATAATCAAACACTTGCTGTTTCATAAAGAGCTAAGAAACAACACAAATCATAAATGGTATAAAATAACTGTCAACCTGATAAATCATGATAAGAAGTAGGAACCAATTTAATAAATGTAAATAATAAACAACTGTAAGATGAACATGATAAAGAAACATTGAAATGATAAAAGAAACTAGGCTGGGTAGGATTCTGCAGGGACTAAAATAGAACATTAATGATAAATGTAGTACAGGCAATCTACTTGCAGAGTTTATCATCACTCCTATCGACTTTATGGTGACCAAGAAACTGATACATGAATATATGCATAGAGATTACTGAAACTCTGAAATATATTTTTAACTATAAATTGCCTCCATTCACAGACTATCTAATTCGTTATATGAATGCGCTGTAACACTACCATAAAAAGTTAAATTCTCACAACTGATATGATTGTTGAAAGTATACAAAAAAGAGAGAGAGAGAGAGAATGGAAGATCAATGTACTGTAGGAAGTGAGACTCTACATTAGTATTCATTAAAGTTAATTTCCAGAAGACGAAATCAACGCAAATGTACGCTGGGAAAGACCCACGCAAATCCAAGGCAAATTATATCAAAAGACTTTTTTTCTTAATTAAATACACATCTATTAAATATGCCAAGCGTTGTACATTACTCTGTACGTAGATTTATTAGAAATACTTGAACATCCATTCACTGCGCCGCCATCTACCGGTAAACTTGAACACTTGTCACGGTGCTCAGTGAAATTTGTTTACAGTGCTACTTGTGTTTTAGATTCGTATTCGACATTCCGGTGAAAAAACAAACGCTAAATAAAAGTGCCACAATCTCGTGAATGACAATATATTCTGTGAAGTACAGTAACCGTGTTCCTGCCGCAGAAGATCGTCAAAAACATTTCCTTCCCTTTCGCCATAAGGTAAACTCTCATTGCATCTGTAAAAGTACAGGATATTGTAATTGGTGACGTAGCCGGGTAGAAAATGTGATGATTGAATAAAAAGGAAGGGGGTTTAGAAGGATTTTGGTTCCATCTTTTTGTGGTAGTTTGTAAGCTAAGGATGGGGTTTGTTCATTCGTTCGCGTAATACCGGGTCGAAAATTCCGTGACTGAATCTGAACTCGATTTCTTTTCTTCTTCAATTTTCCTTTTTTCTTTCTCATCGACAATGCGATAATTGTCTCGGTCTTTTCATTTTCCACTTTCGTTTACTTTTTTATAATACATCCAGTCCCCCCTCCCCTTCGAAATACAGCATAAATCCATCGCAATCTCTTCAAAACATGATCACCAAAGTAAAGAGAGAGAGAAAAAAAAAACTATTTAAACTTACATCAGGTTCCACTTGCTCTATGAAGTTACATACACACGTTTCTTCCGTAGCATTCTCAGGAACTTTTCTCCTTCTGACTAGAGGCAATACCTCTTCCTCCAGGAAATTCTTGTGATTGTCAGGTCGGTCCGGCTTGTTGCGTAGGAATTGGTCCATGCTACCCAGTGTGCCTAATGAATAACTTATGTTGTAGTTTTTACCTCATTTATCTTACATTACGTTTATATGTTTAATTTCTTTCTAAATGTATCAAAATGAAGTTTATTCCACACGCACACACACATACGCATACACATACACATACACATACGCATACGCATACACATACACATACGCATACACATACACATACGCATACACATACACATACGCATACACACACACACACACACACACACACACACACACACACACACACACACACACACACACACACACACACACACACACACACACACACACACAGAGTAAGGGGGGGGGGGAGAAGGAGAGAAAAGAGAGAGAGTATATATGTATATATGCATACACATACGTTTTGAACATGTTCTCACCATTATTGGCACTTGGCCTGACGCCAACAAGCAGACTCATCAGGTTGTATAGCTCAACATTCCGGAAGCTACGCGCTGTATAATTCTCTTTCAAATGTGGTCCATAACCAATGAAAGTTGCCTGTAAATGAACACAAGAAAGTCCTTATCAAGAAGTATTAAAATGTAATAATAATTATCCACACTACACTTTTATCTGTGCCAGTTTTTTTTTTTTTTTTTTTACTTCTAAAACCAAGCAGTATATGGAATAATAATTAACATTCATAGTATTTCTTACCTGCATACTTGGCTCCAAATTATTGAATCCATGTTCACCTTTCTTACAATAATTTTTAAAGTCTATTACAACCCGGGTACCTGGTTTCGTGTCCAAAATAACATCTTCTATTCGGTGGTTATTTGCATAGTGGTATCTGCATCAAAGTAAATGATAAATGAGACAAAGAAGATATACATAATGGATATGTGTATCGCAGAGTATTTCTAATTCATACAACTAGTGGCTTTAACCTGTATATATGAAGCGTTTTCCTCATTACAGTTCGTAATGAAACAGAAAGGTACATAATGGAAATTTGTGACTTTTATGAGTAGTTTGTGTGGACCTTGTTTTACAGGATCTTTCTAATTCAATCACGGATGTCTGTAACCTATTATATGAAACGGATTCCTCCTCGTATAAATTGTAAAGCTATTGATCAATGGTTCCCAGGCTGGGGTGCACAAGTTCTTGAGGTGCGTGAGTTCGATTGTAGGAGGTGCGAGAAAAAATAATAAATGTGGAATTTATATTCAAGGTTCATTTGGAACATATCGGTTATCATTTTTTGGGATCAACTGGCGTGTAATGTATGTTGTATGCTGAGTTTGAAACTTGTCTGAAATCGAATACATTCATCCAGCCTCCGATTTACATTTTCAATATTGATATTTATTAAACAGGGCTTCATATTTTGCGCACACATGACTCCCAAATGATGGACGTTTTTTTTTCGAGAATTGACCGAACTTTAGTACTCCTCGAATCATGGCTGTTGCGAGTGACAGCATGACATTATTCCTTTTATTTTCCTGACATATATATAATCTCTATATGATAGCATCGGTAGACATGTGAACGAAGCAGACGTAATGCTAATGCAATGTATGTATGGACTTGCAGCAACAAAAATGGTGGAGATGGAATGGGTAGTGTGTGTGAATTGGATCATAGTTACGTAAAAGTTATCTTGATAATGGCATGATAAAATGCTCTTTTAATAAACAGAAGAAATAGAAACAACATAGTCATGCCAACTTGGAATATCGTGCAAACAATTTTCCCTTATTCCCATTCCTATTCTTAGGAAAACAATCCAAATCTCTGTTTGATCGCAGATGTCTCTTAGAAAATACGTAAAAAAAACAAAACAAGGTAATCAGAATTCAATTTTAACAAAGATAGACAGAAACTTGAATGTTTATATAGTTTTATTTATTTATTTATTTACTTTTTTATTTTTTTAGATTAAAGTAAATTTTGGACCAACGAAACTTACTAACCTTCTTGGCAGGAGAGACTTTTGGAGAACTCGTACTCGGGGATTCTTGCACTGGGACACCGATAGGATCTCGGCTTCCACTTCTGTCTCACGAAAGAGAAAAAAAAATGTGATGATTACGGTAAAGGTTATATAGATATTACACTTTATGACAATGAACTCCCTCCCATTGACGATATCTCCGTTTCTAAAACGGTTTAAAACAGAGAAAAAGGGGGGGGAAATACAACTCGAATGTATACATTTTAACGTATAACGTAAAAAAAAGAACTCGAGAACGGGGACACTTCACTACGTATTCTGTCCTTTTTTCAGTGGCGGCACTGCAAGTCATTTTCCGAAACGTTTTGCTAATAAAGCATACAATATGCAAACAAAGAAATGAAAAACGATGAAAGTATATCACCAGACTATGGGGTTAGTTACACAGTCTGCAAGGACAGTGTCTCCTCGTCATTTCTGGAAGCCCCGGCCCACGGCTCCCACAGTTAAGGTAATGTTATGCTTACTGATCCCTGGACACCTGTGTACACTGGCAGGGTCCAACATGTTTCAAACGGGTGGGGGGTGGGTACGTAAAGGATGCCAAATACCGAAGGTACAAAGCCATAAGCATTTCGGTGGCGTTTCCATACGTTTTGAGGCTCACTAGGGCGCTTGATTACGGCTGTGAGCATTAGTAAGAAGTAGGTACTCTAGACTCTCGGACTGTAAGAAAAAGGCACGGGTAATGAAAATTTACAGAAAATGATGAACGTAACAATATCAGCCGACATTTCGTTACCACTTATCGGTATTACATTGTTAACCAAATCATTCCCGTGGAGATGTAATTGAAGAAGGGGGGGGGGGGTCAAGTACTTTCCTCTTACGTGACAACTACAGCACGGGCCGACATCTGGAGAAAGAGCGTCATCCTCATCACTCGTCACAGAGGAGTTGTTAAAGTCATCGACAGGACCGGTCATGGTCAGCGCTGTTGTGAAGACTGCAGTGGCCAAGAAACCCAAGGGCGTGGCCGAAAACTTCCTTCAGACGACCAAGTTTTTATGGCAAGAGTTTTGGCTCTCATGACAAATACCTCATTATGATGATCAAATGAGTCCGTTTAAAATTGGGTAAATATAGATATTATTGTTCAGTCATCACCGATTGGCTCCCGGCGTTGTCTTCCTCCTCCCGGAAGGAAACTATGTCTTCATTCTATTTCTTTTCCTTATTCTTGGGGATTAAGATTGTTGCCAAGTAAACTTGTACTATTTAGTTCCGAAATCATTTCTGGTGGCATCGGAATAGTCTTCTGAATGAAAATCCTCGTCATCAACTTGGTAATTATTAAATGGCTACTTATTTGGTTAATAAGATAATTATTGCCAATGTGGAAGCTGTTAGATCACGAGACCAGTGGTTTGATAGACTCACCCACTGAACGTTAAACATCTTGAAAACCGCAAATGGCCACTTCCGTTCAAATAGATATCGGTAAAAGTTATAATACGAAATCAGTCTCCCAATGGCTCTCAAACGTGG